ATAAAAAGATACATGTGAGGCACTTAACAACGAATGAACAACACTTCTCGTCATTTAAAACATCCAATAATTACGAAAAAAGTTCATCTTCGACTGCATTGATAAATGATTCAACAGTGCCGTGACTGAACACGTGTGGATCAAGGCTATTCCAGATTCTAATGGCAGAGGGAAAAAATGAGTGTTTAAAAGTGTTATTATGAAACGAGTAGTCAACAAGTGTATGGCTGTGCTTGTGTCTAGTCGGTCTTGTGTTAGACAATTGAACGTACTTGGATGAGTCAATCTTAAAGGCGCCTTGTAAAAGAAGGTAGAGAAATTTCAGACGATTTAATGTTGCGCGGTCAGTAATGGTCTGTAAACCTGCTCTTTTCAGAAGCTCTGTGGGGGAGTCAGAACGACCATACTTGTGGTAAACAAACCTAATTGCCTTTCTCTGAAGGCTTTCAAGTGTGTTTATGTTTATATTCGTGTGAGGGAACCAAGCAATATTTGCGTATTCAAGCACTGGACGTATAAGGGTTTTATATGCTAGGAGTTTTGTTTCACAAGACGAACATTTTAAGGTTTTCTTCAGAAGGAATAATTTCGTGAGAGCTTTATTAAATACATATTTAACATGTGCGTTCCAGTTAAGATCAGATGTTATCAAGACTCCTAGGTACTTATACTCGGTGACTCTATGCAAGGGTTCATCTTTAAGGCTATATTGAAGCTGGGAGACATTCTTTTTCTTTCTCGTGAAACTCATGGAGACTGTTTTTTCTTTGTTAATCACCATTTGCCAGTCATCGCACCAGTCGGAAATCTTTTTAAGAGATTTGTTTAGTAGGATGTGATCGTCTTGGTTCTTAATTTCTTGATATATGATACAATCGTCAGCGAATAATCTTATGTTAACATCAATGCCATCGGCTATGTCATTTATGAAAAGAAGAAATAAAAATGGAGCTAAAACGGAACCTTGTGGGACGCCGGATACTACAGCAACTGGTCGCCTACTTTGTCCCTCGTGATAAACAAATTGGAAACGATTTTTTAAGTAGTCTTCAATCCATGCAATTATCGGTCCTTCGCCCATAACATGTTTAAGTTTTATTATCACTTTGTCGTGGGAAACGCGATCAAACGCTTTCGAGAGATCCAAGAACACTGCATCTACCTGACTTCTGTTGTTTATGCACATCGTGAAATCGTGAAGAATCTCAATTAGCTGTGTAACGGTCGATAGTCCACTTCTAAAACCATGCTGATGTGGGAATAAGATATTGGTATTTTCTACAAATGATGTCATGACTTTGAGAATAATATGCTCGAGAAGTTTGCAGCAGGTGCAAGTAAGTGATATGGGCCTAAAATTTGAGGCTAGAGTCTTATCGCCAGATTTATGTATAGGGATTACTTTCGCAACTTTCCATTCGGCGGGTACCGAAGAAAGGAAGAGACACTTGTTAAAAATTAACACTAAATACTTGCTAACCCATTCAGCGTATCTTTTAAGAACCATATTCGGAATTTCGTCAGGACCGTTACCTTTTTTGGTGTCTAAATTGAGTAAAAGTGCAAATATGCCTGGTTCCGTAACTATTAGGCTTCCAAGTTTTTAAGCAGTGTTGCATTGCGGTAAAGTTAAACCGTCATTGCCATCATCAGCTGTAAATACCGACTTAAAGTAATTGTTAAATTCATCTGCCATTTTTTGTTCCTCTATGGAGCTCATACAATTCATTTGAGACTTTTTTGGGTTAAAGTGGTTCCAAAATTTCCGAGGTGACGTTTTCATGAACTCGTGGAGGGTCACGTTATAGTACTTATGTTTGGCTTCTTTAATTTTTAATTTAAGAAGTTTAGAGTGCTCTGAAATCTTTGCTTTGTAGTCGGTGTTATCCTGGATGGAGTGTATTTTAGATGACTTCCTTAGCCGCTTGAGTTTGCGTTTCAGGTGGATAATTTCTCGCGTGATCCATGGGTTGTGCTTTCTTGTTATTTTTTGTTTTTTTGGGATGAACTGTGTAACACAGTGCGTGATAATTGATTTAAACTCGTTCCATATGTCGTCAATACTGACATCTATCTCGTCACAAAGTTCACGGAAATCATAAAATCTATGAGCAAGGTACTTAATATACACGCGTCATCGGCACTGTTGAAATCAAGTACAGTTTTGATGGTACCATATGAGAACCTAGATGTTCGTATAGGTATGGTGCATATAACTGCTTTATGGTCGGATATGCCCGTTACTACTTCAACACCGACTTGGCTCTGGGGGAAGTGGTCACTAAGAAATACAAGGTCAAGCAGACTGCTGGACGTTCCCTGCACCCGTGTTGGCTCTCTGACGATTTGTGACAGATTAAACGCAAATAAAATGTGTAATATTGCATCGGAGGTAACAGTGCCAAGTTGTAGCGAATTCCAGTTTACCTCAGGTATATTAAAATCGCCAGCCATAATAATCCTTTGATTTTTAATGTGTTGTTGCATGTAATCATATAAGTTGTACAGACACTTGTGGTCGGAGTTTGGAGGCCGATAAACGACACCTACAACAACAGAATAATAATCGAATGACACTTTGCGCCATAAAGATTCAACATCTTTCACATCAGGCATATGTTCGTAGGGGATCCCTCGTTTTAGAAGTATTGCTACTCCGCCACCTCTAGTCGTTCTGTCTTTTCTCAGAATAATGTAATTTGGTGGGACAATTTCGCTATCAAGTATTAAGGGATCGATGTAACCACGTTTCTGTGATTGTAACTATGTGTGGATTAAATTCTAAGAGAAAGGACTCCAAGGAATATGCTTTATTTTGAAAACTCCTTGCATTTATATTACGACTCTAAGGTTTGATGGCAGATATATGTCGACACGGGCACTGCGGAAAAGACACACAAACTAAAAAACGAAAAGAAAGGGTTTAATGAAGATTCAACACGATATTGCAGAAGCAGTCATTTGCCGAACCGCATCATATGCATTCCTTGCACTTTTTTTAAGAAATCGCTTGTGGCCGATATACGACTTTTCAAACACAGGAAGCCTTGGTGCGCTCGAATACGTTGTCGCGGACGAAATCTACGGCAGCCCCGCTGGTCGCAGCACAACACAAAAGGAACTAGGCCGGGAAACAAACATTTCGGGATAGGAAAGAGCTACTCCGTCATCCGTGAAACCTTTACCAAATGATCACGCTCCTGCCGTTACCCGCGCCTAGAGAGTGGAGTCAACGGATAGAAAAAGACACCGGTTGATTAGTCCGGCGACTGCGCACCTTCTTCCATGATTTAAGCTTAGGGAGAAATAAAAAGAGAGGAGTAGGAAAAGAGCAGCTTCTTCAAGGCCAATTGTCACTTATATGCTATTGAAGGTTCGACCCAAAGTTAGCAATGCAGTGGACGCTATCTATGGCCATCGCCTTCAGGCATGTGCCGTGCTCTGCCTTATCTCTAGCTTAGAGACTGTAGTCACGTGATCCCACACGGAGACCCGATTGGCCTAAAACAAGCATAGCATCTACTTTGCTGTCAATACGGAGTGAACAGGACAGCTTCATACTTCCAAAGAAACTGCCCAACCCAAAAGGGACACCAAAAATGGGAAGTTTGAAGATACTATGTTTTACGCCGTTTGTTCGCATTGTAATATAAAATGAAGAATTAATCGCGACTATGTTGACTTACCGCGTTCGCTATTCTAAAATTTGAGCGTGGGACTCTCGGGCAGCGTTAGCTTGCTCATGATGCAGAACGCTGCTTTATCGTTGAGAATCCTTTGCCGTGCGAACGCGAAAACGTTCTGGTGTTCGGCTTGCCCTCCACATCACCGCCTGTCAGCAACCGCCCGCGCAGCATCGCCAACCTTTTTGGCGCCTGTTGGCAGTCTACGAGCGCCGGCATTTCATTGTCGTGACTTGAATACCAGCATTTTGCTCACTCTAGTACACCGAGCATCACTGACGTCAATCGCTACGATAGCGTCAAAAGCGTCAAGGCGCTGCCCGCCATCCGCCAACAACCACAGTGCTAACAACAAAACCAGCGCTCTGCAGATCTACGTCGCCATGTTAACTTCTCTCTTCTAGTACGCGTGGTTTGATTTCGAACGATTCCGCTTCGGTTTTAACCGAAGCTATTAGCTTTCGTGCGCACAGAAATAATTATCCTAGCACATATTTAAAACATTTCTGAGACAATCCTAATTCTAATCAATATATAAAAGCTGTCATGTTTGGGGTCCACCAAAACAAAAAGCCCTAAAAGATCCAACCTTATCCGATCCAAGCTCAAGCTGATCGGGGAGCGTGGATAGCGTGGCGGTGTACTAAGCTGGGTGCACTAATACACCTAGAGGTTTTTAAGGGAGAGGAGGATGCTCATTGTCGGTGTACAAGTACACTGGCTGGGTAACGGAGGGTACATCTTCAAGGAAAAGGGTGCATGTGCGCCTGATGCACCCGACTACACCCTTTTTTTTAAAGTGCGACTTCTTCAAATGTCTTGCTTTCACTTTCATATAATGCATGGTTAGATTCCCTTCGAGGTGACACAAATTGAATTAAATGTAATCCTGCGCTGACTACGCACCCAAACTTCTTACCTTGCTGAATGCCACCTATTCCACCCACCAATGGACTCTTAACAAACGACAGCGCAAACTGCTGGTAAGTGGTTAGTGACAAGTAATTATTGCAGCTTACATTAAGCCATCACACTCCTTTGAACTAATATTGTTATATATAAAGAAAACTTCACAAACATTATAACGTTAGAATGAGCTGAATAAAATGAATCAGCTACTGTAATAAACACCTAGCCCCACGCGTGTTCTGGACAGACATTCACCAAAATAAAAACGTATGCATACGCGGCTCTTCAGGAACTTCAAGGGAATGTTTCCGTTAGGCATTGTGATATCCCAACAGATGGATGTGGTCTTTCGTGCAACCGAAACACTAGTAAATGTGCACTATACAGTGACTCAGACAAGAATGGGGGTTCTCCTGGATAAAAATAACGACTTTAATAGTACATACAAAGAACAACAAATTCGGACACTTCACTTTCATTATTTTGATGTGAGACCTGTGACGCACGATGCCACTGGCACTGCTGCTAAACGTGTGCTTTCAGTCCTTGCTGAGTTTTCGTAGTGTAAAAACACTTTTGTTCCGTCGCCTCATAATACATAATACTGTTCAAACCAGGGGCTGGATAGAAAACGCGTACTAAATGAGAGCTGTAATATAACGGCATCTCTTTCCAGCTTCTTTTGATATAGACGGCTGCTCACATCAATGTACATGATGTGACAGACACTTTTATTTTGAAGATTCTGCCATTTTTATGCGCTCCGATTTGCATGATAATTTTCTTGTCAAGACTTTCTTGTCAAGAAAAGATGCGTTTGTTCACAGAAAACACACGCCTCTTTTGTTCTCTGTGCTATTGCCAGCTTATGCAACTCCCAATCACGAAGTTCTCGATTCCAACCATAAGTATATGCTAGTCCACTTTAGACCATCCTAATTTACCTCAGAATGCCCGCTTCCTCATGGCCACACTTCCGCAGACCTCCGCATTGTCAATGTCTCTAAAGACAGGGTATCCTTTGCTCAAGGCAATGAGGTAAGCTCCGTTAAACACGAAGTGTGAAAGCAATGCACATTCTGTGTAAAACGGCATTTGTTGTAGCTCTTTCTTTAAGAAAAAAGTGATATGATGTTTTGCTCTGGTGCAGAAATAGTTTCATGTGGTTTCTCTTCTTGAGACTTGGCACAAACTTGTCAGTGCTTCAAAGTCGATCTTCATTAGTACCACAAATATTTTATTACTTTCGTCTTCAATATCAGAAAATGTGGGGTTGTATGGTTCGGAGAGCTCCGAAAACGTACTTGTGCGTGATTTTATATCTAATGCTCATGAATGACGATTCTTATTCTCGCTTAGTTTTATTTTTCCCCATCTGTACATTTGCCGGAAGGCAACGAAACCATCCTGCTACCTTATTGTGTATTTGACCACACCGAAGGAAAGCACTTCCATGCGGTCAAAAATTTAAAGCATCTTAAAAAAAAAAAAAAAACTTTGCAGGGCCCAGCCGGAACCCAAGCCTTACTTCAACCTATGGTGTTATTTGCAACTGCAACTACTGAGGTTTGTTTTCGTGGTATAAAATTGACAAGCTGCACCCTCAAACATTTGAAACTTATTTTCTTTTTGTGTCATTAATCTGCACAAAAATGTTTCCTCCTTGCCGAACTGTTCCTCTGTTCACTGTGACTTCGATATATATCGCTAAAATTTGTATCTTTTCCCTTCAGCAATGGGCATCAAATATTAGTTTCGATTCACACTTCTTGATGCTGCAGAATCTTTCTAACCTCCGCACCTCCGTCACGCTCGTTGTCTTGCAGCGGATGAGCGCTTGCAGACCGCGAGAGCTTAGTTCTTTTGTGGCTATCTAGTAGAAGTCCAGAAGCCTGCAGCACAAAAGGCCAGCACAGCCCACTTCGTCTTCAGGCTGTCTCGGTCGCAGCTCGTGTCCGTGCTGCTGATGCCAGCGCTGGACGTGCCTGCTGAGTCCCGGCATGGGCGGCTGCCGACGCACGGGAGGACTCTGCGGGGGACTGCGGCCTGGTGCTGAGCGGCTTCTGGCGCTGACTCCTGCACTAGAGCAAGGCACTGCTAAGAAACCACGCCCGCTGAACCAAAGCGCTAATCTTGGTAAACTATCGCATAAGATATGAACGTATTTGAAAACAAGGGTATCTAAATAGAGTTTGTCATCTGTTCACTGATAATTTAGTATCATAACGCATGTTGTAGAGCTTTGCACCTGATAGTCTCCTCTTCCTTTATTATCTTTAAAGTGATTTTTGTTTTGTTCCTTGTAAATTAAAGCTACAAAAATGTACTTCATGTATTTTAATTTATATGTCAAGACTGTGCTCTCGTCGTTTTGCGGTGTAGTGTTTCAAAAGTTTGACAGAGGGTTGGATACGTGCATCGAAGTAGTCTTGTAGTGGCGACTGATTGCACCAAGCAGCGTGTCATGCTGTCAGGTGTTGCGATCCTGGCAGATGATCGTAGTAACATTATCAACACTAGAAAAGACGAATGAACTCAAATTCACAAATAAATTTATATATTACACGGAGTTTTTCTAGGATGTACACTTTTTTTTTTTAAAAGCCGTGAAAGCTACACTTATGCGGTTTATCTAGGTGAGCTATACGGCCAGGTGGACACAGTACACGGGGCTAATCATAACGATCCGTTGGCTACTGATGTAAAATTTGTTAATGAACTCTTTAATTAGTGACAATAGACCTATATTCCCGACTAGAAATTTGGTGAGCGTCATTCAAAACCACCAAAGTAATAACTTTTAGACGCACTTTGCACGCGTGGGGAGCGTAGCAGTGTGCTAAAGGCTCTGCTTTACTCCAACGTTGAGCACAGCAAATGTAGTGAAGCACAGAACGCGGGCCTTTGATTGACCGGCGACCAGGAAATCGATATCTGCGATCAATCAGTATCTCTGTGCGCTGCGCTACGCCGCGTTTGCTACGCTCGACGTCGGAGTATCACAGAGCCTTAAATGTACCACTGGTTCAACAGGCACAAGGCTGGGGCTATAAGAGACGGAAAAATCGCGCGGGCGCCTTATTGCACTACTGCACTCTGTGCATGAGCGTCTACTTACCGGCAGAACACTCAAAGAGTCAATGTTTCCGATCAACGAAATCAGCTTAGCGAATTATGGGGTGAAACATCCATTTAGACCTCAAAATTAAGTCTGCGCTGTGGTACTACGCAATGCAATTGAGCGTCATGCTTGCATTGCGTAATGCCACCGCGCATACTTAATTTTGAGGTCTAAATAGATGTTCCGCCTCATCCGCTGAGCTGATTTCGTAGATAACAGAGGTTGGTTCTTCGAGTGTTTTTGCGGGTAAGGAGACGCGCAGGCAATTCTTAAAGTGTAGCCTTGCTCCAGCTGCACGAGTGGTAACTTTAGCGCAGAACTGCGCTTCTTAAGTGCTCAGATCGAGTCTTCCTGAAAAGTACTGATTTGGTGGTTTTCGATGACGCTCAGCAAGTTTTGGATTGAAACCATATGCATATGTTTACTACTTAAAAGGTTCATTGACAAATTCTACTTAATTAGCCGACTGATCGTTACAATTAGCCACTTACACTATGTCTCCCTGGCCGTATAACCCATCTGCACAAACCACATAACCCTATTGGAAAAACGTACAAGAAACAAACCTGCTGCTTGTACAGTCCTGGTATGACACCACCATAATTTATTGTTATTATACATGCAGCTAGTTTGGTTTTGCGTTCTCCATAACTGGAGATACCGGCACCGCTATGGCTCCGGGTCTGTCTATACTGGCAGCCGGTTTGCTCGCCGATATGACTCGGTATGGCTGGTATGATTTTGCGTCCGATGACGTAGGCGACCGCCATCTTTCCAACGAAACGCCTATACCACAAGACCACCGGTATAACTAAACCATACATGCAGAAAGACGACCGCCATCTTCCAACAAAAACGTCCATCGTTTACCACCGGTATCGTTACATACATCATACATGTCGAAAAATAACATAAGCCGCGTTTACATGAATGCGACTTAGTCGCATTGAATCCAGTTGCCGCATTCAATATGCGGTCATGTAAACGGCATAATGCGCAAAGCGCATCGCATTAAAGTCGCTAGACAGAGGTGGATCGAGATGGCGAGTGCGCATTCATTCAGCCCATGTAAACGAAGATCGCATCGCATTTTGGAACGGGGAGGATTATCGGAAGGCGCTCGCTGCGGGAGCGAGTGAACAGCTGAGAACATGGTGGCGGCCAACCTCGTCGGCGGCGCGGAGAGCGGTCCCGCAATTTTTTTTCCCGAGAACAAACGCAAGCTTTTATTGCGATCATAAGTAAGCGGAATTTAGCGGAGCTGCTCGGTGAGGGCGGCCCCGTCCAAACCTTTGCGAAGTACGACTTGCGCGTCCGAAGGGGTCACAAAGGCTTCGGTGCAAGCACGCATGACACCGAGAGCTCCGATCACTGTAGAGCACTGCATGGTTGCGCAGAACGAGCAGCTCCTACCTCGCTGCCGTTCCTGGCTGCGCAAGAGCCTCTCGGACTCGGGGTCTGGTCGCGATCGGCGAGGTCTGGCGCGGCGAAACGTGGAGGCTTCCTCAAAGCGTGCACACACACGTCGCCTCTCGTTCAGAGTGGACCGGCGGCCCGGACTGGAGTCCTAAACGCCTTGGTTTTGATGCTTCTTCCGTCTCCCAACTTCTTCCACAGCACCGAAGACAGCGGGCGCGATCTTTACGTTCACTGAATGCGTCGAAAGGCCTCCACGTGCGATGCACCGGAAAACGTGGTGCGGCTGGTGCCGGAACGGAACTGACGGAACTGCATAACTTCGAGCTTTGAGTCAACGTGCACGGCAACAAACCGATCGTGACACTAAGCCGCGGATACCGCATCGCCGGTCGACAGGGGCAAATGGCCCGTTGCTCGTATCGTGGGCCGTGACTCGTACTCGGCCAACTCGGCGTCTTTTCGTGGCCCCTCGCGTCGTCGCAACCAACCGCAAACATACCAGCCCGCGACCGTGGCCGATGTCGGAGAAAAGCGAAACCGAAACGTAAAGCTTCCGCCCAGTGGCTTCCGCTGCCGCGCCTTTTCTAACTTCCCGGCCAGTCCCGGTTTACACACTTCCGGTCGTCGCGGAGATGGCGACGCAGCCAGACGTAGCGGTTTTGGCGCTGGCTCCTTCTGCGTTTTACGGGACAGATGTTTTACGGTCCGTTTCTACTGCGTCTCTGGCTCTCAACTCGACGACGCCTCTCATGGTTCAACCAGGCGTGGTCAGCCGGGGTCAGCACAGCGCGGCCGGCTCAACTCGTCCGATCGCCGGACCGCAGGCGACTTCTGATTTCGGCCGTTAGGCCTAGGATCCGAAGGACTGTTTCCGTGAAGCGGTAAGCGAATCTCGTCCCGTTTTCGTTCTACTTTTAAATTACGTTAGGTGCGCTACAGTGTAAGCATGCGTGCCAAGTGTTCGTGACAATTTTGAACTAGAATAATTGTGCTTCATTGCGGTTTGTCATTTACGAAAAAGTAAATCGAGCAATGAACGAGGAGCCATGCTTGAAAACGATGTATGTATGTACGATGTTAACTTCTACCTGGGCGGCTTAAAAAAAAAGTCAAGACTGGTTACGGTTGGATGCGAGGCTGGTCCCAATGCAATGGTAACCACTTAGAGCACCTTTCTGAACAGCATGTAAGCAATATAGCGATCAACGAGACGAGCGACGACGAGAAGCTACGAGTGCCGGCGCCGAGCGACGAAGATTTCTCACTCTCGCTGCTTGCGCCGCTCGGTTCCTGGGCTTCTAGAAAACGTCGCTCATCACCTTGATCGCTCGCACCAATCGCTTTCATAATGTGTGTCTCGTCGCGCAGCTGACTACCGTGTTTATTCAAATATATGTCGACCTTTTTTTTTTCTTTTCTTTTATTTATTTTTTTTTTTTTCGGAAATCGTGACTAAAGAATTTCGACCTACATTCGCGACCAAATTTTGCGACCGTACCGGAGGCATGAAGCTATCGAGTCACCGAGCCGGCGTTGCCGTAGAGCTGCGCCGCTTCTTGTTTCCAAAAGCTTTTGTTAAACAACCGAAAACAACAGCGGTGGCCGATGCCGCTATCGCGCGCACCTCTTGGGGCATTGGATTTCGCCATCGCACCTCTAGCGTTCCCCTTGCTGGGCAATGGGGAAGGAGAGGAACGCGATGCGCCATGCACTTTGTCCTCCATCCTCGCAAACGCGCACAAAAAAAGAAAAAAAGAAAGATGTTACTTTTGTTAGTTGCTTGAGGCGGCTCGGCTCGCGTGTTGCTCATGGCGACACGGCGGCTTTGTTTGCGTCTTTGTAGTTTGTCTTCCGTCGCTTCGCACCTTCTTTCGTTTCTTGTCGTCATTTTACAACGGTGTCAGTGAAGTATTGTGGCGGATTTGCGAGGATGTCTACCAAGCTGTGAAGTGATGTAAATAAAGGTTTCTTTCTTTTGCCCAAAATTTCCCCTGTTCTTAAAAATAAAAAAAAAGTCGACCTATATTTGAATTTTTTTCTTTTTTTTTTTTTTTTTTTATTCTCGGTGGGTCCAACAAATAGAGTTCGACCTATTTTCGAGTAAATACGGTAACTTTAATTTTTATTTTGGGTTACGTCGGACGTAACTCGAATGCTTGACAGTTACGTTGGGCGTAACTTAAATTTTTATTTCGGGTTCCGTCGGACGTAACGTTAGACACTGCGTTACACTTAAGAAAAATAGGGGCTGATGGTTCATCATATAAACCAACCATTTGTGTTTAAATAAAGCGAGTCACTGGCCTAAAAAAAATACTGCTGTCCTATAGGAATGTAGCGCTTCAGATAAATTTGTTAATTTTTGCTTTTAGTCTCTGCCCCACCAGATACAACATCTGGCCTAAAGCAGTGTTCCAGATCTCCTTCCAAGACCTCAGGCGGGTCGTCATTCAATCCAGGAGGCGGCGGCGTCTCATGGGCGTGTTGCTGGTGCTTCTTACTGGATGGTGCTACCGAGGGAAAAGTGGTCGTGCTTGGGAA